GACAAGAAAAGGTGTAGGTGGGGAATGGAAGACGTGCCTGTCACTAGATGGCATGCCAAGCGCGTCTGAAAGCAACCGAAGAGCTGCTGAGGGCCTTTGCAGTGGATTTCACAGCACATGGGCTGCTTAGCCATTTGTTTTAAAGATTTTTCTCCTGCAGCAGGCAGGATCCTGCCTGTTGAGCTGTGAGCTGATGACCCAGGCAGCTCGGTCCTCTCCTGTCATTCAGAAGTAGTAAGAATCAGGTATAAGGAAAAGCGAGTCTGTACTGAACAGCAAGCTCTTTCCTTAAACCTGCCTTTCTCTACAGCTTCAGTAACTGCTCATTTTCAAAAGGAAAGTCTTAAAGGCTTATTAAAATGGTAAATACAATGAAGGAAGTCTAATAGCCTACAGTTGGAACACAAACAATACAGAGAGAAGGACTGCCTACAGCGAGTTGTGATGAGGATGATAACATACTGGGATGTGCGCTAGAAATAAAACATTTCACTGAATCTTTAGTTAGTTAATTGTGCTCTTGTGCATGTTCTGCATTTGACCACAGACTATAAGAATGCATCTCATGAAATGAATCTTTTTGAATTACTGATAAAACAGCACATTGTGTCAATCACTCTTGAAAAGAGAAATTTCATTCAACATTTTGAAAGAAAAATGCCATTTGTTTGCATGTTTCTGAATATAAATGGTCTTTAGCACTTCCTGAGGAACTCATTCCCCATTAAGTGATTGCACCTGTTTAATATGATTTGGATCTTTATGAGAGTATTAGACTCTTATTGGAGTCTCTCAGAGAGAATTATAGAAGTGGTAATACAAAGTTAGCATGTCAGATGTAGTGTTGGATGTGTTGAATGGTGTCCGTTCGCTTCCAAAGGGAAACTGGGGCTCCCATATCCCTTTACAGAGGTGGAGCATAATCTAGGTTTTTGCTGGTGTAAATGAGAATAGACTTTGGCTGCTTGTCACTTAGTCAAGCTTATCACACTTTCCCACAAAGAGTGTTCACAAAATGAAAAAATCCAGGTCAGTCTAAACCAATCCAGTTTACACTTCTTCAAAAGTTAATTTGTCTTCATCCAGCTAGTTGCAATAGGAACAGAGGTATTTGGGGACAAATTAAACCTTACTGAAATGCTACAGATGCTGTTGGGGACTGAATTTGAATCAGTAATGGCTTACCATTGTGAATCAATGTAAAAGAGCAACAGCACAGGAAAGGAATGTGTTCTAAACACTTGCTCAAGGCACAAAGTCAGGCATGTACTGCCCCGTTCTGCCACTGGAATATAAAAGCTCAGCCTGCAAAACCACACATCCATTATGTAATGCCTCCTACACTGCCACACTCAAAGTCCTTTGCAAACACTGAGTAAATAAGTTGTAAAATAAGTTTGTGAGCTGTTGCAATAACTCTTAACAGTGAATTTTAGGACCCATTCTGTTGCTAAGTTGGTCATTGCTACTAATGTCCAAGAGGAGAGACTCCCGTGGGAATACAACTGAGAAGAGGGACACAGTCAGCCCTGTAGCCTTGGCACAGTCCTGTCAGAAATGTATTCCAGTTAGGTTCGTGTATTCTTTAACTTCCTGTAATATCTTTAGTGC